ACCTAGCCCTACTTTTTGAAGTCAATGTTAGTTACACTTAAATCTCTTTTCTAATCTATCTCTTTTCTAAGTCTATTCTAATTAGTTGTAGTAGTAGATACTCATAGTATTGCTGTAAATAATTGTGTGTATGTACACACACACACACACACACACATATATATATATATATATATATATATATAATTAATAATATCACTATATCCTAATTATTTATAAAAACGTAAAATATTTATAAATAAAATGATCATTATCTATCTAGTTATTCAACTACTTAAAAAGTGGAAATATTAGTGTGGAAATGCAGACCCCACCTTCAAACTGACGTCATAATCGCAGCAATTATGTACTACAGACTACGAGAAGCACATCCACCATAGCAAATCCCCTCCATATAATCCCTCTACTGCTGTTCAGGTCAGACCAAGAGACTATTTTTAGCATTTATATGTGGCATCCATAACCCTACTATGTAAACGAATAACTTTCTACAGGAGGATGTTTTAATGGAGGTCTGATTCATATAGCCAGCACACTATCTCTGAAAGGACACACACACACACACACACACACACACACACACACAACTGGAACAGGATTTAGCAGATGAGACAAACAAGAAGCACATCAGCCCCGTTAACTGCCAGCGATCCCCCCCGCAGCTGTAAATTACTGATGGTAACCTGGCGACGACGCTCCGTGACGATCACTACTCGTTAGCTTGTAAGTGGGCCAGCGATAATCAGAGAAATCCAGTAAGCATTTTGACCTGCTATATTATTCATCTGCTTCATTTGGAAAAGTAAATTCACCCCGCAGCCAGAAAACTCTGCTTTTACAAATCATAGTCCTATCAGTGACACACATCAATGTCATTGTATTGAATCTTTATTATTTTCCCCCTTATTTCCTCTTCCTTTTTTAATGTTTCACTTGTATTTTTGCTCTTATTGGTTATCTTTTTTTTTTTTTTAAACGTTGAGCTGAATTTTTAAGTGTACTACCATTCAAAAGTTTTTTTATTTGAAAGAAATTATTACTTTTATTCAGCAGGACTGCATAAAACGATCATAAGTGACCGTAAAAACATTTATAATGTTACAAAAGATTTCCGTTTCAAATAAATGCAGTTCTTTTCGTACTTTCTATCCATCAAAGAATCCTGCAAAAAAATTATCATGGATTCCACAAAAATATTAAGCAGCACAACTGTTTAATCAGCGTATAAGAATGATTTCTGAAGGATCATGTGACACTGAAGACTGGAGTAATGATGTTGAAAATTCTGCTTTGCATCACAGGAATAAATTAGATTATTCCTGTTAACGCGTTAACTCTCTAGATATTCCGTGTTTAAAAAAAAGAGTGAAACATTTTTCTACACATGAAATATTAAAGCAAATAGACATATGATTATGACGATATATTTTCTGTATGTGTTTTGTATGCAGCTCATGGTAATTTTATAACAATAAAGGATGTTTATGACAATAAGCAGTGTGGCGTTATTAAACATAGCCTGCAAAGAGTGCATGTCTCTTTGATTATAGAATCAAAATCAACCATAGATCACAATCGGAAGTTATTACAAGCACTCGGTGATGGTTTATAGTGGGTTTTAAGCAAAAACAATAATCACATACATTTTCAAATGTGGCTTGATGCTAATTGTACTTATATTTATATTTTAAGATGTTTTCTTGTAAGCATTATAGATAGTTTTTGTTTCTGGCGTAGAACCAAACTTTATTTAGCTATATTTAATGCTGTATATTGAGCAGTGGACGATGTTAAATCCATATATGAGATACATATCTGAGTAAAAATGCATTGCTGGTCGGCACCACCTAGCGTGCAGGCGTGAATTAGCAGAAGGCGATCAATCGTTTCGTGCTCGGTGTGAAAGCAACGTTCGTCGGCGATTCGCCTCACTTTTTCGCATCGCGTTCAGTGTGAAACGGCCTTAAGACTGATCTGCAAATCTTTTTGACTGATTCATTAAAAGTCATTTGGACACATATAATGACTCAAAAGAGTCATTAGTTCATGAATCAGTCAATCACTGATTAGGCATTGTGTATGTGTGTGTGTTTTTTTTTCTTTTTTTATAAAAAAACAATTCTAAACAAGAACCTCGATTCTCAACCACTGATAAAAAAAAAAGTATTTTATGGCTTAATAAAAGATTTTCACTGAATAGGATTTTCCAGCAGTAGGCTGATCAACAGATGGCTATGTAATCCGGAAACATGATGCATTTTCAGCACAAAGCAGTCGCAGCACTTAACGTACCATTTTAGGCTCGATGGATTCAGCTGCCTTGGTCATGCCATCCAGACACTTGCTGACGATGGGCAATACTTTATGCTCGACCTCGGTGTACACCCGCATGCTCTCCCTCACCCTGCCCACCCGCCTCTCCTCCATCTCCTGTATCCTCTGCAAGACAGAAAACACCACGTTATGAACACTCAATATGCCATTCATGGTCCATCTGGCATAAAAATGAACATATTTGTCATTTATCAATATTACAGTATTTTAATTTGATGGAGAGAGATTCTCACCTGAAAGATATGTGGTATAAGCGTGTAGTAGTGCTCATGTTGGTCCTTGTTGAACTTCTGCAGGTAGGTCAGGTACTCGTTTTTACTGTCCTCTGCTATCTGATGCCTCATCTGAGCTTGCTGTTTCGCCTAAATAGACAGAAAACACAAGAGACAGGGAACAAAAAAGACATTAAGATCCTTTCTACAAGAATGACATCAGAACGTAAAGTGCAGGAACTGACAAATAAAACGATCACCTTTACGACATGACAAGTCAACAAACACTGAAAGTCAATTAGCAGATTACAGAAAGATATAAGCGTAGTCTGGTGTCAACTTCAGATCAATAGTCAGTGATCTACACACTTAACCAAACGCTCTGTGCAAGAGTGAGAGAGGACAAACAACGCAAACATCACAAATCAAACACAGAAATATAATCAAATGATGTACTCAGGGAAAATAACACAGCTAAAGATCTATGTTTATCAGTAATTCATTCAGCAGATTTTGTGGGTCATAGTATCCTTTATAGAGTTTAACTGATATATGAATGAGTTTTTTAGTAGACAATTCCACTGAGATATGAGTATGAGATTTCAATAATTTACTTGACATAATATTCACGGAGCGTCCACTCAAAAATAAATGAAAACAGAAAATGTGCATTATCCAAAAACAAGGCTGTTAGTTCATTTACCGCTGAACTGACACATGGTGGCATTAGTACATTTATTCAATTAAGCAGAAACTGTCGAATACTTTCATATATAAAAAGGCATTTACACTGTGATAAAAAATAAAAATAGAATAAAATAATGATAGTGAATAATCTTATTTCAGTCTCAATCGTATTTCTGACAGAAAGTGTTCAGAAAGCAGAATGAATAACACCAAATTTGGTAAATTAATTCATGTTATTATTAGTAGCAATTATATATTGTTCATATTAAAATGACATATTTAGCATATTATACAATATGCATTATACAAATTAAAAAAATGTTTAAACAACTGTTTGTTACGTAATTACCACATGACATGACCTCATCAAGTTGCATGCTTCATTCAACTAGTGGTGTTGAAATAGTTAGTTAAAAAAATAAACCGTTTCAAAAATAAAATGTCTTGGGGGCCGTTTACACGACAACATTTTCAGCCAAAAACGGGAAACTTTTTATGTGTTTTGCCTGTTCGTTTACACGACAACGGCATTTTGGGGACTGAAAACGCATATTTTTGAAAGTCGTTTTCATGTAAATACCATAGACTGTAAAAAAAAAGTTGGACGACGCGTCTCCACTTCCTTCCACTATAGAAAAGTGAAGCCAAAGCATCTCAGTATGGCTGCTGCCATCTTGAGTAAATGACGTCATTTGGAGCCCAAGTCTGCGCAGTAGAGATTAGTTTGGAGCCAGAGTCTGTGCAGTAGTGTCGTGAGGTGGAGCCGCGGTATCAAACTCCTGCAGACCCAATCAACCATAACGACACTCCCCGTTTTTATAGCATCAAATTACTAGCTAAAATCAAACTTATCACAAAAACGAACAATTGAACATATATCAGCATGATAACAACTACATTAAATGACCAAAACCATCTTTCGGAAAATTGTATTGGAAGTGTCATTTATTTTTTTATTTTGACTCGAGTCCCATTCGTTTACATGGAGAGGGCGGGGTTTATGACCTGTACTGCAGCTAGCCACCAGGGGGCGATCAAAGAGCCCGCAGCTTCACTTTTCAGGACGTGTGAGGCACACCCGGTAAATACCCAAAACGCCAATGAAAATGGTGACGTCATGCGCATGCGTAGTACATGTTAGGTATGTAGACATGCGCAGTACGTGTCGATTTTAAAGGCAAGCGCGAACAAACATACACAATGGCGGAGTACATGGCACTGTTATTGCTGCTCAAGAGTTTGCTAACGCTTCTTCAGCAAAGTGTGAATTTACTTCACCAATATTACAACCAACAGCGGAGAACACATAATCGTCACTTCCCTACAGGTACTGTTTACTAACAAAGTGACAGAGCCAACTACTGGCCTGGCATACGTAATACAGCGTTTTTGGACATTTTCGCGGATATGTGTAAACGCGAATCATTTTGAAAACATTGTGAATACGTGAAAATTTTTAAAAACGCAAGGGAAAAACTTTTCAGTTTTTCACTACATCGCTGTCGTGTAAACGTAGCCTTAACTTGTAGTAGTTTTGTAATATAGTCAAAAAAGATGCAGTTGATATTACTTCAGGTTCATTCAAAATTGGAAATGTACAAAACGCATGAAATGTGTATATATGTATGTATATATATATAAAGTTTTTTTTTTTTTTTTGTGGCCACAAATTAAGAATTCGTTCCCTCATTTTAGTAAATTGTGGGTTATTTTTTTGTGGCCACAAATTAAGAATTCGTTCCCTCATTTTAGTAAATTGTGGACATGTTGTACAATTTTTTTTGCCTCATTTGAATTAAATCAAAATAAGGGAACAAATCAGTACAACTTGGCCACCATTTACTAAAATGAGGGAACTAATTAAAAAAAAATAGTTAAACGAATTAAGAAATTGTTACCACAACTTAGCTAAAATGAGGGAATGGAATAATAAAATGAAGGAACATATTCTTAAATCACGGCCATGATAAATATATTTGTGACCTCATGTCATGTGTGGAGCTCTGTAGAAATGGAAGGTCAAGCTAAATGTATTGCATTGTGGGATATCTTACTCATTGTGCTCTGCTTGTATACAGCACATTTTGGGTAATGTAGGTTGAGTACTCTATTACACATAAACAATATATTCTAGAAGTAGTATGAGTAGTATGGTAGTGTGTTATCGATGAAGAAGACTTTGACAAGAAGAACATGATGGCGTACCAACAGTGAATGAGGAAACAAACACACATAAACACACACACACACACACACACAAAAATGACAAGGAATGTTCGAAAACAAAATGTCAAAGTGGTCCAAATGAACCGCACCAGACATCCATTCATCATGCATACTAACTAAACACATACAGCAGACCAAAAAAGCATTTCGATACTTAAGTCACCCGCACAAATTTGTGAGTATCATTACGTTAAACACAAAATATACTGTAAATCCAAGATGCATATGCAAAACAATTAAGCTACCATTTTTGCTCAATGTCTTTCAATCAACTGGTGTTTTTGTGATTTTTAATGAAAGTTCTCCACAAGTAAGTCCTAGCACTGTAACCACATATATAGTTCATCACAGTAATTATGAACATGTTCCACTAAACCTTTACAGGTTTTTTTATTAATTGTGAACAATATATCTATAGTTAATCATTTCAAACTTAATAAACTGAAATCTTTTGTTTGAAAAACTGTGCTTCTGCCACTTCATTTAATACTGAAACTAATGCAATTAAATGTATCCATTTTTAAGTGTCTAAATGCTTTTTGGGGCCACTGTACATAAACAACTGCATGTACATGAACCAGACAGTGTGCACAGACTCTCCGACTCAGGACTTTTTGTGGTTGACAGTAAATTGTGCAGTAATAGCTATTGATTTTGTGAAATCAGTCTCCGCTGTAACCCTTACAACGTAGTCTATTTTCGCAATCGAAATCCATTTTAACGTCTTCCATGACAAGTCTTATTCTGTACATTTGTACAAGGTGAATACAGGAAAGATTCGCTGCAAGCATAGACGTGAACGTAACAAAAGCTAAAACTGAAAAACAACGAAAATTACGACAAACACTCTTTGCTGATATGGGTAATACACCGAACAAGTTAACAAACTCCCCACCGACAAAGATGACTCTTGGATCAAACCTACCTTGAGAGAACACCGCTTTAAGACATGTTAAAAAACAAAGACAGAGTCGATTAGTGTCACAGACACACTAATAACAGAAGGTACTTAAGAATACATCTACACATGGGCAAATCCAAATCTGTTCATTTGGCCTTAGATTCATAACAAACAGGCCACTGCCATATTAGTTGTCTTTGTTTCTTATCGTTAAAACTACCTTCCTTTTTGCGGCGTGTGAGCTTATTGTTTTCATTATTGAACATTTAAATATACATTTCTTAATGTTGTTGATTCTGAAATTGCATTTTTATATAGCCTATATTTTTTAAAATTATTATAATTGTCATTTAAATAGTTTTAAAAAATTAGTCATTTTTAGAATTGAGTAACTCTGTTTTTACACTCTAATACTAGAGAGTAGCAAATCAGGGAGGGCAAAGTACAATAATCTTAATATTCACAGTGTTACTTCATTTTATTAATTAAATTCAGCCCTGACATTCATACTAAAATTTCAGTTAATAATTTTGCTTATGTATTTCAGTAGAAAAGATGGTACACTGTTTGCATTTTAGAAACCTGGAATTGAACTAGAAATTATTTGGTTTGTTTAAATTGGAAAAAAAATACATATGATCTGTTTTAAACATCTGCCTAATCACCCAATGCCAAAAAACAAAACAACAAAAAAACACAAAATCCACTAAATATTAGCAGGTACTAATATGGTCACAGGTTTATTGTGCTTACAGTCCCTTTGAGAAAAAAAAAGGTAATTTTCTGCTATACAGTGAAGGTACAATAAGGTAGCAGCAGGTGAGGTATAAGGTATGAGAAGGGCAGATTCACTCTAACTTTCAGAACGTTGAACTTGACATCAGTTATATCAGCATCTGTCACCACCGCCCCATTTCAAAGAGGGATCATCCACACAGACTCACAGAAAAGCATGAAAGCAGTCATGGAGAATGAGGGGCTTGTGACAGGATCTGTCTCTTCTCACGCACACACGTGACCCATACCTTTTCCACATCTGCTTTAGTCACGTTAATGTCGGCGTCCATCTTGTCGAAGTAATGCTGGGCGCGATCTGCTTCCTTACAGTCTCTCTCAAACCTTCTCTTACTCTGAAAGAGACAAAAAAAAAAAAAAAAAACTTACATTAAAATGAGAAATCTAAATTTTAGATTATTGCACTACTCATTGCTGAAAAAAAAAAGTATGCCACTGTCATGTATTTCAGCTTTTAGTTAGGTATGCTTTATAGTTTTATATTTTATATGTATTAAAACCTGTAGTTGTAGGTTATTGTTTATTTTGAAAGAGACTTGTCTTTTACAGGCACCTGTGGCTGATTTTACACAAGTGTTTATTGTACAAGGCGGCCCAGTTCTAGCTCATATCTTAGACAGGTGATGAAAGAGAGGCCAGTATCAGGAAAAATTTGAGTATTCACACTATGTTCTGTTCAGTTAAACTGACTCACCGATTCCAGCTGCTTCCAGGAATTCTCAATGTGTTGTTGCGCTCTGCGGCCATCATGGAAATGCTTGAGGAAAGAAAAGACAAGAAATAGATCTAAAATTTAGAACACTACTGTTCAAAATTTTGGGGTCGGATTTAAAACAAATTTTTTTGTACGTCTCTTATGCTCACCAAGGCTGTATTTATTCAATATAAAAATATAATGATATTGTAAAATATTGTTACAATTTAAAATATATGTTTTCTATTTGAATGTATATTAAAATGTAATTTATTCCTGTGATGCAAAGCTGAATTTTCAGCATCATTACTCCAGGCTTCAGTGTCACATGATCCTTCAGAAATCAGTCTAATATGCTAATTCGCAGCTCAAGACACATTTCTTATTATTATCTATGTTGAAAACAGCTGTGCTGCTTAATATTTTTGTGAAAACAATGATACATTTTAGGATTCTTTGATGGATAGACCGTTGAAAAGAACAGCATTTTTTTACGTTTACATTTCTCTGAAAGAAAATGTGCAAAACTCACTGCCACAGTTCTGCAAAAAGAAAAATAGCACATAAAACAAAGTTGCAGTGGAGTCTGTACCTAATAAAAACAGTACAGGATAATAAAATCAGTACAGAACATTAGATAAATTAAGATAATATTTGTTATAAAACAAATAGTTACTGCTCTAAAATCTGATCCGATGAGATGCATTCAAAGCCAATATATACATATTTGACAGCAATTACATTAACAGCTCATCCAAAAAGGAACATTTTCATGAAATCTAAAAGGAGATATAAAGCAAAGCAGTTCTTTTCCATACAAATTGGACAGTGAAGTGTCATAAAAGTAGTCCATTCCGCTTGTTCACTATATTCCAAAATGTCCATTTTTAGGTGAACTGGTTTTTGTTACAAGTAGTAACTTTATTACTTGGTAGTAAAATAGTTTAATCTGATTATTATTAATATTTAAAAATATTTTTTTCAACATTGCCCTTAAATATTTGGCTATTTATACTGGAAACCAACCATGAGAGACTGTATTTTTAACAAATTTCGGGTTAAAAAAAATTCTATTTCAGTTCTTGCACAGTCATGATGACAACTATCTTATTACTGTGTTACTGACATCTCCTTTTAAAATATTATGCTGAAAAGACATTTAATTGGAATTTAAGCTGATTAAATTAAATATGACACAATCAAGCCAGACAGCAGCTGCTAGAAAGATTATATTCCAGAGCTATTGCTGAATCCAAATCCCTCGTCATTCCGTAAAGAATTCAATTACGGAAGCAAAGACGTACTCATGTACAATAAATGTTAATTAACTGCAGAATTCCTCACTGGAACACAAATAATTTATATAGGGGCTCTCATTATCATAAGCGTCACTGACAAACCAGCACAGGCGATCGCTTGTGTCTGCCCACTCACGGCATACCACGACACTCTATATGAAAAATACATAAGGACCACTTACTCTCGGCGTGACATTTGAACACAAAAGGAAGACAAAATGCATCAACGGAGGTCTGAGGTGAACGAAGCCTCCCTGAGCTCGAGCGTGGTGGTGTTTTACTCCGCTGTCATATTACTTCCAGCCAGCAGCCTCAGACAGAGGCCTCCTGAACCCGCGCGAGAACCTTTAGACAACAGAGGCCAAGAGCGGGGGGAGGGCGACCTTCTCAAACTCCACTGACCTGAATACATGACCCACATTGGTCCTGGCTTCATTCCACAGAGCTGGGAGAAATCATAAACAAAATAATACCATATTCCTATGTGATTCAGAATTCCTCACTGGAACACAAATAATTTATATAGGGGCTCTCATCACTGACAAACCAGCACAGGCGATCGCTTGCGTCTGCCCACTCACGGCATACCACGACACTCTATATGAAAAATACATAAGGACCACTTACTCTCGGCGTGACATTTGAACACAAAAGGAAGACAAAATGCATCAACGGAGGTCTGAGGTGAACGAAGCCTCCCTGAGCTCGAGCGTGGTGGTGTTTTACTCCGCTGTCATATTACTTCCAGCCAGCAGCCTCAGACAGAGGCCTCCTGAACCCGCGCGAGAACCTTTAGACAACAGAGGCCAAGAGCGGGGGGAGGGCGACCTTCTCAAACTCCACTGACCTGAATACATGACCCACATTGGTCCTGGCTTCATTCCACAGAGCTGGGAGAAATCATAAACAAAATAATACCATATTCCTATGTGATTAACCCTGGATTTGAAAGAGGTGAGGGCTGTGCTGGAGAGCAGAGAAGGAATTACTTTAGTGGTTTTCATACATGTCTTTAACTGGTGATTTACATTATTGAGGGATTTGATTCTTTTTTCAGAAGATAATCTTTTTAAATGATCTCTAGAAAGCCGAGAGCGGGATGTTTTGGCATCGTCATGACAAGAAAAGCATGGAAAAGACATGTTCGTACCGATTTTCGCTCAGCCTTCAGTTCTTGAGTGTAGCGGGTCAACTCTGCGATTATCTGAGTGGACAGGTTTTCGGCGATGACCTCGTGTTGACCCGCGTAGTCATTCAGCTCATTTAAGGTAATCAGAAACGCTCTACATGTGGTGTACCTGATGGCAAATGTGAAAACGTTAATACATCACAAAGAAGCAAGATGAGACAAGTAGTTTCTCTTGATTTATTCAAAAAGTAAAATAAATTCAAAAGCAAGATCAACACAATAGTGGTCAACTTAATTAAAGTTTTTTAATGTCTGGTACTGGTGTTGATATGAATGCTGGCTGATATAATGACAGAATACATAGTGGCCCCAAAATATGAATATTTTTGGACCCTCAAGTTAGAGACCCGCACTCCCGCGGGACCCAACGCAACAGGGTGTGGCGTGGGACAACTCTTGATGGGCGAGTGCGGGTGCGGGCGGGAAGAGACTCGTGGGTGTGCGGAGAAATTATCTAAACATATAATGTCTAAAACATATAAATTGTTATTTATGTGTTGCACAAAAGCAAAAACAACAACTAATAACATTAAAATGATTAACTCTCTAGCTAGGCAGAGTTTCTATTTATAACACGTGTTTAAAGGGTTGCTCAATGTAGCTAATCACAGACTCAGCTGTTGATTTCTGGAACGCAATGGCCAATCAGAGGTGATTAAGTTAGAATCCACTCACCGCAGTGCTGAAATTGCGTGCTCACGAATCGTCTCATTTTAACACACGAAGTGTAGACATTGTGAAAGATTCATTGTGCATATGTTCATTGTGCATATGTTCGTCGTGTTATAACAGCTTTATGAGATCGCGATGAACAGAGATGTCAGTTTTTAGTGATAATAAAGGAAGCTGCTCGCATTCTGCCATGCCAAACCATGTACGCAGCAGCCCATGCTTGCTTTTCTGTTAAAAATAACAGTGGTTTGTGAATGCTGATGCTTAGCCTCAATAACAAATATTTTATCGGGAACATTTATGTTGGGATGTTGTGGATCTTAGGAGATGTTACAGAACCATTTAATGTAAATTTCTTTGATGTGCTGAAAAAATCTATATATAGATTACTTCACAACATGAATGTCGCGGGCGGGAGCGTGCCCAGATAAGATATTGCTTTTGCTGGCGGGAGCGGGACAAAACATGAATGTCGCGAGTGGGAGCGGGCCCAGATTAGGGGTGTGCGATATTGAAAAAAAAAAATATCTCTATATTTTTTGGGATATTTGCGATAACGATAATTAGATGATATTTTGCCGAGTGTGTTATTGTGCTGATATCTGACTACCATGGACAGCTGCAGTTTTTGATATTCTTCATTCTGTGTGGTCAGTTCACATCAGTGAAAAGAAATGAATCTTTTCATATAAGTTTAAATAGAATTTTACTTTTTATGGGCATTTTTACCTTTAGTAAAGCCATTTTTTCTAAAAGTGTGCATCTTTTGAGCCTCAAGTCACATTAAAAATGTCTAAATGTCACTTTTACCCAATTGGTGTCAACTCATAACATAATAGATTTCTTTTTGTGAAAGATTTATCTTTAAAAGTGTGTTATTTTTCTTTTAAATAATATTTTTAAAAGTTTGATATTTTGTATTCAAGCAAGTCTGGCTGTCCAAATAGTTTTGGGGCAAATGAATAATGCAATTTAATAACAGCAAATGAGACATGCACAAAATTGCTCAAATGAACACTCTTCACACAATAGATACTTAAAATTAACTGGTAATTATTTCAAACAACTTTGATTATACCTAAACAAAATCTAATTTGTGTATATACACTACCAGTCAAAAGTTTGGGTTAGATTTTTCTTTTTTGACAGAAATGAATATTTTATGAAGTATTATCAACATGGATAATAATTAGAAACATTTCTTGAGCACTACATCAGCATATTAGAATGATTTCTGAAGGATCATGCGACACTGAAGACTGGAGTAATGACTGAAAATTCAGTTTTGCCAACACAAGAATAAATTACATTTGAAAATATATGAACATAGAAAACTGTTATATTAAATTGTAATAATATTTCACAATTTTTATGTATTTTTCATCAAATAAATGCAGCCTTGGTGAGCATAAGGGCCTTCTTTTAAAAACACTGGAATCTTACCCCAAACTTTTGAACAGTAGTAAGACATAAACTGTTTTGTGCAAGTAAATCTGAAACATCATTAGTAAATAGCTACATTAGTATTTCGATGAATGTGTATGATTTATGCATGCCAAACTGTTCTCACTCACTTGAATTCTTCCTCCTCTTTGGAATTCTTCTTGAGCTGATACTTCTTGGACAGATTCCTATAATAAGACAGATAAGACTTTTTATTCTATAAAGCAACTATAAACAAGTAATTTGTAAATGATGCCTGTTTGAACCAGTCTGCAATCAAGTTTAGTGAAGCTAGTGGTGCATAAATTGCACATTTTAAATAGTAATTTAGAAAAATAATTTGTTTCTTATCTTACATCCTCTCGGCTACCCTAACATAAAAAACAGCAATTTAGCAACATTTCTTCTTGTTTTGCAGCAAGCAAGGCAAACCAAGACATTTCACTGATTTCAAAGGTGTCTTTGTCTCCCAGTAATTTGAATGAGTGAAATTGTGCACGTCAGTGACAAATAAGATCTAATGGTGCTTGTGGTGCAACGCGAGGCTGCGGTGCAAACAAAAGCTAATATTGTCACCATCAGAATAATTGTATCATCCCACTGTCCGATTCATGAGGCAGACCTTTGTCAATCAGAGTGGAAAACTGAGCACAGGAAGACGACAAATGACATAGTGAAAACGAGAAAATCACTGCTTTATACATGAATATTATGTGATCAATTTCAAGAGGGCCTATAAATGGCTTCAAATCAATTATGATGGTGAGAGCGCATGCTGATTGTGCCGCCCCCTCGATGCTTTTTCCTGCAGCTTTCCTTCACTCTATCTCTCCCTCTCTCCACACACATCCAACGGTACCTCCCAGGAGTCTGACGTGTTGCTAGGCAGATCACCATCTTGCAGTTTCTTGACAAGACCACACCGATGCAGTTGCTTTATTGTCTGCTAGTTTCCCTGCGATCGGCCTAAATGGGCCGCCCTATGCGTCAATACGCCATAAATAAATCCTCATTAGAATAACCCAACCCAGCGGTTTTTATAGGACTATTATTCTTCGGCCAGACAGATCCATGTCGATGCCGTTTATCTGCTAACATGTGCTTAGCGCTTTATAAATCTTTCACCCATGGCTGCGATTTAAAAAAAAAAAAAAAGCCTCTGAGAGATGTTGTGAATTAAAGACTTTCTTGAGAGCAAAATACAGTCTGACACAGTTCTTAAAAATAACAACAATGCACGGATTGAGCGGACGGCTACAAAAAGAGGATTTTCTCTTATGTGATCAGAAAATACAAACAGAAAGGGCGTGTTTGTTGCACGTCTGGTCAAATCGGCGAGCGGCGCCGCTGTGAGCTCCAGCTTTGGGGTTTATTATAAACGCTGAGGTTTCTCTGCATATGTCTTTGAGCGGTAGCGCAGATGATGCTGGTAAGTCAGCCGGTGTCCTCGGGGTCAACATCTCCAGTGGAAACTGCTGCTCAATAAACTTCCAAAACGCAGCCAGCAAGAAATATTACAGAATCAGTGGTAGATAATAAAATGTGGGTCAGAGCGGTGGAAACCCATGGTAATACACGTTGGACATGTGACCTGTTTTACGTTTGTTCCCACTGACATAATACAAAACACCATCTTTATGAACATCTGTATGCTACAATTGTCATTTACTGTGAATCATAAGTTATGCAGGTATTTGGTATATTCAGACTTAAAAAATCAATTCTGAATGTCTGAGAAAATATATACATCACATACATTTTGACTGCAGTGTACTGACAGTTCAGTACAAAAATAGCAGTTCCCCCCACATTGTTGATTAATTATTTTTCAATTGAATTTTCACCAAGAATAATTATATTATAATATATACAATTACTGTGGTTACAACCCTACAAACTTAGATTATTTATTTTATTAAATTCAGAAAATAGTATTGATTATATTACAACAAAAAGAACTCAATTGAGCTGGATAATGACACTGTTGTTTTCCGTAGAGCTGCTTTTGAAGTTTTTTCATAATTGATGAACTTTGCAACATTGACAGTTATTGAACTGAACTGAATCTGAACTGAGCTGAATAATGCATTACAGCTAAAATTGAAGCTGTTTCAGAACATTAAATACTGTTACTTTCCTGTTTATTACTGTGAAGCTGCTTTAAAACAATCTATATCGAATAAACTACTATAGACTATAGACTTCAACTGACAAAATATGAGCATCTAATTCATGATAATGAGAATTATAAGAAAATACAAAATGCAAATATGAGCCACAAATTTGTCTTTATCTTACCTGATCTGTTTAGCATAGCTCAGTTCAATTTCAGACCGTTCCTTCACAAACTTGGTGTAGCGCTCCAAAAACTCAATGCCCCACTGAGTGTGTTTCTCTAGGTTATCAAACTGATCCTGCAAAGGACAGAAAAACATTAGACTGAGAGTTAACATATGAAGGACTAACCATTTAGTGCGTCTCACGTTCATATAACATTGACAAAATATGAAACACCAAAGAAGGTACAGTGCCAACAGAACACTTTAGGAGATAAAAATTATAGATTTTGCTTTGATGGATTTGATATAACTGTGAAAGAGGGCCCAAAGGAGAGATATCAAAACTCCCTCAGAATGAAAGTCATCCCATATAATTTCATGAGTTTGCAGTATTCTCTGACATTGGCAACGTGTCAGATATATTATTCAGCACTGCTGGCCCTCCAGCTGTAACATGCCTAATGCTTATCGCTATATACACAGTACAAACTTCATCCATCACAAAGCATTTAACTTGTTTTGAAACCTATTAACCACTAGGTTACTGTTACAAAACATATTGATCTGAATCTCCTGTGACTTCCATAGTCTAGCTTTTAGAGTATTTGTCCATTTAAATAGTCAATTTGAATACTTATTAGTCATTTAACTGATTAGTCTTTTTATCCACAGCAACATTTTCAATGTCTGTAATTCGGTGCACAATATGTCTTAAACTTTAATACAAATAATTCCATATTTGTCTGCTACAAATTAAAGTATTTTAAAATAACTTGAATTATTGTCAACTACAAGGAGCACTGTTGTCTTAATAACCTACTAATGGATGAATGCATTAATTTACTATGGTTGTCAAATGTACATGCTCAAATAACTTTTATACAATCCCTTACCAACCCAGATATGTATTTTAAACACAATGATGGAAGGCTTTTAATTAAATTAAATTAATTAAAATTAAAACTTGCTGATTCAGATTATATGAGTTCTGTCAATTAACATCCATAGCATGACCACAAATTAAACTATAAACTTGGTTTTAGTCCTATAAATCAAGCGTAGGGTTAGTTCTGAAGTGACCTTCAGCTGATCCCCATCTACCTATGGGAATACGACACCTATCTAAGCATTCATATATAAGGTCCCTAGTATTATCAGCAGTTTTCGCATTGCTCAATAGCTAATTACCCTCCTCCATCCCCAACTCCTCCTCTGTCAGTCGGGATTCAGCCTTCTGATTCTCCTTGAATCAGACTACTTCTAAAATGTGTACATAAAATGATTGAACTTAACAATATCTGCAATACATTTATGTTAGTTCTGTTCTGTTTACCCTGGGGGTTATTGCTGCTCTCCCTGCTCTCATCCATGCTAGGCTGCATGGAGGCGCAGGGAGTTCTTGCCCAGAACGGAACCATACCGCCAATCCAAACTGTATGCTAATTGTCAATCATCTTTGACGATAGTGGTCCTGACAGAAATCCTTTTAAAATATTACCCTCATAATATTTTACAAAGGCTTACAGCTTCTACTGTCACCAGAAGAGGGTGGTGGCCATGTAAGATGATCTCACCCACATAACTAATTTCTAATTGGTTAAACTGATGATGTTACAACTTAGCCTACACTCTTAAAAATAAAGATGCTTCAAAAGGTTCTTCAAGCGATGCCATAGAAGAACCATTTTTGGTTCCGCAAAGAACCATTTAGTCAAAGGTTCTTTAAAGAACCATCTCTTTCTTACCTTTTTATAATCTGAAGAACCTTATTTCGCCACAAAGCAAACTTGGTGTAGCGCTCCAAAAACTCAATGCCCCACTGAGTGTGTTTCTCTAGGTTATCAAACTGATCCTGCAAAGGACAGAAAAACATTAGACTGAGAGTTAACATATGAAGGACTAACCATTTAGTGCGTCTCACGTTCATATAACATTGACAAAATATGAAACACCAAAGAAGGTACAGTGCCAACAGAACACTTTAGGAGATAAAAATTATAGATTTTGCTTTGATGGATTTGATATAACTGTGAAAGAGGGCCCAAAGGAGAGATATCAAAACTCCCTCAGAATGAAAGTCATCCCATATAATTTCATGAGTTTGCAGTATTCTCTGACATTGGCAACGTGTCAGATATATTATTCAGCACTGCTGGCCCTCCAGCTGTAACATGCCTAATGCTTATCGCTATATACACAGTACAAACTTCATCCATCACAAAGCATTTAACTTGTTTTGAAACCTATTAACCACTAGGTTACTGTTACAAAACATATTGATCTGAATCTCCTGTGACTTCCATAGTCTAGCTTTTAGAGTATTTGTCCATTTAAATAGTCAATTTGAATACTTATTAGTCATTTAACTGATTAGTCTTTTTATCCACAGCAACATTTTCAATGTCTGTAATTCGGTGCACAATATGTCTTAAACTTTAATACAAATAATTCCATATTTGTCTGCTACAAATTAAAGTATTTTAAAATAACTTGAATTATTGTCAACTACAAGGAGCACTGTTGTCTTAATAACCTACTAATGGATGAATGCATTAATTTACTATGGTTGTCAAATGTACATGCTCAAATAACTTTTATACAATCCCTTACCAACCCAGATATGTATTTTAAACACAATGATGGAAGGCTTTTAATTAAATTAAATTAATTAAAATTAAAACTTGCTGATTCAGATTATATGAGTTCTGTCAATTAACATCCATAGCATGACCACAAATTAAACTATAAACTTGGTTTTAGTCCTATAAATCAAGCGTAGGGTTAGTTCTGAAGTGACCTTCAGCTGATCCCCATCTACCTATGGGAATACGACACCTATCTAAGCATTCATATATAAGGTCCCTAGTATTATCAGCAGTTTTCGCATTGCTCAATAGCTAATTACCCTCCTCCATCCCCAACTCCTCCTCTGTCAGTCGGGATTCAGCCTTCTGATTCTCCTTGAATCAGACTACTTCTAAAATGTGTACATAAAATGATTGAACTTAACAATATCTGCAATACATTTATGTTAGTTCTGTTCTGTTTACCCTGGGGGGTTATTGCTGCTCTCCTTGCTCTCATCCATGCTAGGCTGCATGGAGGCGCAGGGAGTTCTTGCCCAGAACGGAACCATACCGCCAATCCAAACTGTATGCTAATTGTCAATCATCTTTGACGATAGTGGTCCTGACAGAAATCCTTTTAAAATATTACCCTCATAATATTTTACAAAGGCTTACAGCTTCTACTGTCACCAGAAGAGGGTGGTGGCCATGTAAGATGATCTCACCCACATAACTAATTTCTAATTGTTTAAACTGATGATGTTACAACTTAGCCTACACTCTTAAAAATAAAGATGCTTCAAAAGGTTCTTCAAGCGATGCCATAGAAGAACCATTTTTGGTTTCCCAAAGAACCAATTTGTCAAAGGTTCTTTAAAGAACCATCTCTTTCTTACCTTTTTGTAATCTGAAGAACCTTATTTCGCCACAAAGAACCTTTTGTGAAACAGAAAGGTTCTTCAGATGTTAAAGGTTCTTTATGGAACCATTTAGACAAAAAGGTTCTTCTATGGCATCGTGAAGCACCTTTATTTTTAAGAGTGTACCCCATGTTTCCACATTCCCTTGTCTCCTCTACACTTATAACAACAAATTGAGATTAAGTGGAACATTGCAAGGTCTAAACTTTTTGGTTACCAGCCCAGATGTTTAACTACCGGCTACACAACATTATGGTGTTATTACTACTAGGTTAAGGTTGCGTGATGTTACAGCCAAAAAGGGACAGTCTTGAAAATATTAAGTATTTAAGATCATAATAGATGCTGTAACGTGTGGTGCAACAATATAACACTGTTACTTTATTACATGCACATTGCAACATCAAAGCTGAAAAGGACATGCATGGGGAATATGACCTGTGCACCTGCTCCAGCCTCATTCACTTGCATGTGGTTAGGGACATCATTAGCCCAGGATTATTGCCATCCAGGGTATTTAGTCAATGCTGATGGCTAATAACTGCATTAAACGAGCTTTAGAGAGCATGCATTTGCTTGCATTCAAAAATCTGGACGTGCATGCATAAGATCCAGTGCTAAAATCGTGAAATGAAAGATTCCTGTAACAGTTAGCTGGAATTTGCGGTCTGCAACACTCAAAATGGGCGGTGGGGTGGGCTATTTATCTGTCACTAATGGGCAAATGCATGTTACTAACGGAGATCCTAAATATTTTGTGCATTATATTGCTTAATGGCTTGCAGATGCATTCGCCTCAAGTGTCTCGCGGCTGTACTCACCCACAGCTCCGTCCCCCAACTGCAGCTCATGGTGTCGAGGCAGTTCCTCCGCGATAATCCTCTGTTTGAATGCATGCGTGATTCTCGCCCAGGAACAGCTTCCAGACAATACAAATAATACTACCTGGTGTAATACCAGCGTATACCGTCAAGGATTTGTACCTCGATCGGCGAGTCCGGCCGTTTTCACCTCCGCATTCTGTAAATTGCCGATGAAACTGGAAATGAAGATAATGCCAACGTACTCGTGCATTCATTCACGCGTCTCAGACAGAAGAACTAACGTAGACTGCCACGCACAGAGCAGCACGCAGCGCCAAATCCACCTCACAACAACACCAGTTACTCTGAGATCAACTGCTGCTAAATGTGTGTTCGTGGAATCAGGCGACAGATACGGACACAAAGGAAAATTAGTGGGAAAGGAATTTTTGAAATGTTTTCATTTTTTTTCTTTCTTTCTTCTTTTGTCCCATTCCAGCTGTGAAAAATACTTAAGTTATTAAGTTATTTATTAGTTGTTCTCTATCTAGTGCCTATATAGTGTACAAATTTGCTCTTGTAAACTAAAGAAAAACAGTCAAGTGGACAAAGATTAAAGAACAAATTAAAGAAAAGATTTTAAACAGTAGCCTACTTAGATTCCAGATTAAAAATAGTTTCATAACAGTTTTATAATAATGTGTAACCTATAACACGTAAATAATAATCGTTTTATAACGTAGTTTTAGAATAATGTGTAACTTACACCAGGTAAATGATGATAATAATAACAACAGCTATACAATTATTATTATTATATAATTATATTAATAATGATGATGATGATAAAAAATTGGGACAAAGGATAGCTTTCCTCTGTGATATAATAGGCCCGCCTTATTATTAAAAACACTAAAAAATTAACATTATATTAAGCTTATCAGATCATTATGTAGTGCCCATTTGAATTTAGAAATGTCATGAAAATTAAATAAAAAAAAGCTTTTATATATCTTCTCCACGGGCCACCTGAAGTATAGACCCCTAGCTATATTTTAAATACTACCTAGCATGTCATTGCAGGTACTTAGTTATAAGTTATGTTTTTGTAAACCAAGTTTATTTAGTAATCAGTGGCTATTTGGCAACTTAATAAAATAACACCCTAAATAAAATGCATAACTATCCACTGACAAATTCCTGTAATTCACAGAGATTGATATTATATATCACCTCTGAAGTGTTTAAAATCATTTTTCCAATAATTGTTTTGCTTATATATTATTTAAATTTAAATTTATGATATTTTCTTTCAATCAGGTACTAAACTTTGCAGTGCAGAAACCATTAAAAGTCTTTTATGGAGACTTTTATTTAAAAAAAAAACAAGAAATCTCTTCAGATGACCAACTTCCTGTTAGCAACCAGGCCTTGTGTGACAACGGTTCCTAGGCAGAATTTGTTGATGTGTTCGCGGTACACGCAGTTACACAGCGTATATAAGTATTTATCGTTTTAATTTTGCTAAAGTCAAATAAAAAACGACATTCTGTGACAGCGCTCAGAGAACTATACACCGATAATCAACTCGACAATTAGCTAGTTGGGGAAAAAAGTATGTTTCAAAGCATCGCAAGCTAGTGAGGGTTTTTTATTTCTTAGGTTTGAAACCCACAAACCCTTAAAGATGAGCGAACAGCTCAAATGTATCGTTGATCAGCTAAACAGGGAGCCTTTTAAGAAAAACCTCTCATTACATTCGACTCTCTGGAGACGCTCAGAGAACTATACTCCGATAATCAACTCGACAATTAGCTAGTTGGGGAAAAAAGTATGTTTCAAAGCATCGCAAGCTAGTGAGGGTTGTTTATTTCTTAGGTTTGAAACCCACAAACCCTTAAAGATGAGCGAACAGCTCAAATGTATCGTTGATCAGCTAAACAGGGAGCCTTTTAAGAAAAACCTCTCATTACATTCGACTCTCTGGAGACAATGCAGTTGCTGCAGACTTTAAATGATGTTCCGGCTGAAATTGATCCAAAGGTAAGTCAAAAATCATCTTTATTATTAACTTACTGATACACAATATCAGTTAATTAATATAATACAGAACAGTACATAACTGTATTCTTTGTGTCAGTATCTGTCATCTGCTTTTTATTATCTATATTATATTTGAGAGACTGGTGAGCTATACAGACCTTATCTGTCAGTTATTTATATATTGTAAGTGTGTTTTTCACACTTTATCTTGTCTCTTTATCTATCCATGTATCTTTTGTTTCAGCAAGCCATTGATATACGTGAGGAAATGCCTGAGCAGACAGCTAAGAGAATGTTTACTCTTCTGGGGATGCTGAAATATAAACCTCCTGGAGGAATGTCTGAAGTGTAAGACCGAAATAGTGCAAAATGTTACAGAGTATGAAACTGGGCATATTTGGGTACCATATATATGGGAGCCAAGTTTGTTTTCTGCTATCCTAACAGAAAGATGAAATGGATTAAAAGTTTAGAATTTGTACTCTTGTACATTTAAGTACTTCATATATCTTTGAAATGTGTATTCCTTCGACAGAAGCAGTTTTCGTCAGGGTTTGGTGACTGGCAGTAAGCCTGTGGTGCACCCCATCTTGCACTGGCTGTTACAGAGGATTCCAGAGCTGAAGAAGAGATCGTACCTGGCCAGATTCCTCGTCAAACTAGAGATTCCTGCTGAGTTTCTCCAAGATGATATAATTGCTGAGACCTACCACCAGGTATGACTACTGAACATATGGCTTAAAGTAATAGTTCACCCAAAAATGAATGACGTGACATGTGGCCAAGTATGGTGACCCATACTCGGAATTAGTGCTCTGCATTTATCCCATGCTAAGTGCACACACACAGCAGTGAACACACACACACCATGAACACACACCCGGAGCAGTGGGCAGCCATTTATGCTGCAGCGCCCGGGGAGCAGTTGGGGGTTCGGTGCCTTGCTCAAGGGCACCTCAGTTGTGGTATTGAGCAGAGCGCTGTACATTCACTCCCCCCACCTACAATCCCTGCCGGTACGAGACTCGAACCCGCAACCTTTGGGTTACAAGTCCGACTCTCTAACCATTAGGCCACGACTTCCCCCTAAAACTGACACAACCTCAAGCAATCCAAGAAGTAAACGAGTTTGTTTCTTCATCGGAACAGATTTGGCTGAGAGTCCAAACAGCTGATAAAAACGTCACAATAATCCACAACTTAAATTCAGACTCAATTAACATCTTGTGAAGTGAAAAGCTGTTCAAACTATCATTCTGACGGCACCCATTCACTGTAGAGGATCCTGTGGTGAGCAAGTGATGTAATGCTAAATTTCTCCAAATCAGTTCTGTTGAAGAAACATACTCGTCTACATCTTGGATGACCTGAGGGTTAGTAAGTTTTCATTTTTGAGTGAACTATTCCTTTAAGCCTTTAAAAACAACAACAACAACAACAACAAAAATGCTTTTAGATTCTATTCTATTCTATCTGTTTTGATCTTTAGCACACATTCTGGCACTTTACACACAGTGAGTGTAAACTGTTGTCTTTTTTTTCAAGACTATATATATATATATATATATATAAAACATTATTTATTTAATTCATCAGAAATTAAATTAATGACATTTAATTTGAAAATGTATTGCTGGCAAATAATTACATTACACAAATCAGTGTCCCAAATTTTTATGATAAGCTTGCAAAAAATTGTAAAAAGAGCTCATATAATATTTTGTGTTATATGAAAAACGTCCTAGGATATATTTTGTATAAATAATTATATATAATGAATTAATTATGTATTATTCAGTATAAATAATGATTGCTTACTTTAAAAAAAAATTGTCATTTGTTGTGAATGCTAAAGCCTCTTTTGTACCCTGTTTATATACCTCCTATAGATTCTGTTTGTGTATTTTTGCATGATTTTAGATTATCAGATGTTTATTTTTTGTGCTTTATTCTAATGTTTTCATTCTGTTGTTTTTATAGTATGAGGAGCTGGTGGAGGGATTCAAGAACATCCACAAAGAGTGTGAACAGCTGAAGAGCTCAGGTTTCTCCACTGCTGAGATTCGACGGGTAAGAAAGCCAGTGTTGCTGAAGTCCCATCTGGTCATGTAGAGTTTCACATTATATACACAATAATAATGTGTTGCTGCAGGACATTGTTGCAATGGAGGAGGAGAAGGACCAACTCATAAAAGGGGTGGAGCGGCTTAAAAAGAGGGTAAGAAAGACAGAATGCTACTGAATCTGTTTGTGAAACTAAATATAATTATGGAATCGCACCTGCAAATACACACATTTGCTGAGAACTATCAAAGTCAACTGCTGAGGTCATTGTTTAAAAGGCTTAAATGGAATAATGAATGCATTTAAATCCACACAAAATAAAGGACCACCATTGCATCTGAAATAAAAACAAAGTGGGTTTAGGTTGACTAATTATTTAACAATTATAAAATATTTTTTTCTGAAATAAATGTTCATAGCCACAAAAGTTCCGAAGCTCAAATCGGAGCTGAAAATTCCATGTACGCATATGATCATAACTCCTTGCAACTCCCAATAATACTATATATATATCTATATATTTTTTTTAAACCATATTCAAAACCATTCCTGACAATTCACAAATTTAGAATAGAACATGTGAAACAGCTTGGTGATGCTGTTCTCGTCCACTAGGTGGAGGCAGTGTCAAACCACCAACGCATGCTGGAACTGGCCAGACAGCTAAGAGTGGAAAAAGAAAAAGAAGAATCTCTTGCTCATCAGAAACAGGAGCAGAAAAACCAGGTACAGACAGTCTGAATATTTGCACGAATATGTCAGTTCGTATGTTTATGTCTGAAGAAACTCATTGGAGCTCCATGACCTATTTTCAATCAGTCATTGTCTACTGGACATTCTGATAGCTCAGGCTGTGTTTTGTCTCTCTTGTAGCTCTTCCAGGCAGAGCAGAGACTGCAGAGATGTCAGATCCAGCTCAAAGACTTGCAGCAGGCTGGTACAGATGAAAAGCCAGAGAGTAAGTTGCTATACTTAAGGACTCCTGTCGTAGAATGACTGACTGAGTTTAAGCATAGGTCATGGGTTCGATTCCCAGTGCACACCCATACTAAAAAATGTATGTGAGTGATTCCTTAAATAAGATTATTTTAAAGTGCCCCTATTATGCCATTTCGAATATTGCCTTTCATGCAGTGTGTAATGTATCTGTATGTGAATGTAAACGATCTGCAAAGTTGTAAAGCCAAAAGTGCACGATAAATAAAGTTATTGTCTCCCAAAAGAAAGAAT